GACCACTCTAGCGTGTTCAATACTTACGAGAAGGAGCAACCACTTGTAACAACATCTTCTTCTAGTCAGACAGTCAGGCGGCAATCAAAACATATGACTCAATTACATGCAATTAAACACTGTAGCGGTATGCCGAGAGGACAGATAAACTTGTAAGAGAGGGAAAATCTGTTACACTATCGCAGTTCATGAAGGGTTTAGGCATGCCGCTCGCTACCTTCAAGCTTTTTTAAAGGGATCTACATCTTAAACTAGTAAGTGATAGGTTGAAGAGTCTCAAAAATTGCAGAAAGACGAAACCGCTGTGGCTGGAATGGAAGGAGAAATGTGAAATTTTGTTTAAGTCACAATTGATCCATCGCTCCAATTTAGTCGAATTCCCTGACACAAGGGGAAGCCACGATGAATATTTGAAATGATGTTTTATACCAAACATGCTAATACCCCCCACACAGCTAGTTTTATTCCATTGCACCATTGGACCGGTCCTTTTAAAAACCCCTTTGTAAATGTCGATTTTATAAGAGCTTGACAATTCATACACTGTTAAACAAATAACTACCTCTTTTAGTGGATATGTTCTGAAGTTAAACAAAAAAAAAGCATACGCAAAACTTTAGCAACTCTTTATCAGCATCCCGCATCAATGCCAAGCGAATCCAATCGAATAAACTCAATGCCAGCCGTTATGCGTTTAATGAAATATCCTGCCTATTGGTATGACAATTAAATCTCTGTCCACAAAAAGCAATGATGGGCATACATACATATGTGCATATACATATATCATGATGCCAAGTCCATGCAGCGCTGCATGCCAGTAATATTTCTTTCGCATACAATTCATCTGCTTCAATGAGCCATTGGACAACAAAGCAATACAAAAGGCGCAATCAGTGTTGCCACAGTGATAATTACAGTTGCTGGTGTGGTACATTTATTTTTGTGTTTTTGTTTCTGCTGCCGTTTGCTGGTTTTACTGCGGTTTGTTGTTGCTGTCAACACTGTTAATGTTACTACCGTGGAGGTGGTAACATTTTGCAAACAATCAGAAAAAAAGGCTTTTGTTTCGGTTTTTGCTGATGTAGACATGAATTTTGTGCTTACAAATGAATTTGCCCACCTATGAATAAGTTTTATTCGAGTATGCTTGTGTATTCCACAAAAGCATAGCAGACACTGACTTTCAATTAAATATCTGTAATATTACATTGAAATAACCGCATTTGAGAAAAGAAGGTGAGCAGCCTGCCACTATGTGATCACTTCAATTAACTACGCTGGCAAAAGTTCACAAATGATAACTCTACCTATGTCCTTCTTCGAGAAAATTCTTAAATATTTATCACATGTTACGTATGAGAGCGATTTTAAGAAATCACTTTGCCTTTAAAGTATAGACGAGTAGAATTCGAAAAAAATTTAAGTGGAAAGAAGCTTAGCTCTTAGCAATGCGCCTCGGTCAGTCGCAGCTCTCTTACGAAATCCAAGAGGCTGTTTCGCGATATTGAGTGTAACCACATAACTCATTAGACCAGATCACGAGTACGTGTAGGTAACTTCTTAACCTGCAGTGACTTTCAAGAATAGAATTTTTTGTTTTTTCTTTAGGAGGTTAATAAGGTTTTTATAACTTTTCCTATTGCATCTTCCCAGTAGCTTCTTTGCCTGGTTCTGCTCGGTGACTTGATTTCAGTGCATTTTTCTACTCGTTCGCTCTTCTCTCCTTGGCTCTGCCTTGATGGAATGTGGTCCTATTGAAAAAAGAGCCCGGTACCTGTTTATCTTGTTGCTGCCGCCTTCCTTGCAAGTCTTTCTACCTATTCATTACCCTCTATGCCTTTGTGGCACAAAACTCAGCGAAGAAAGCCATTTTGTTTGATGCTAAGGCGTTTAGTCTCTCCACCCACCTGAGAGCCAATGCGGACTGGATTTAATGAAAAAGAAGGGCAATGCGTGCGTCCTAACTATTATTTAAAATCGGCATGTTTTCATTTAGTTATAATTTTTATGGTTATAATGCTTTCATTGCGATCTTTTCGCAAAAGATTAATCTCTTCGCAAAAATTGATAGCGTGGACCTCTGTTTGGAATATACTTGGGAGTCCAACCACGGTAACTGCGATGGTTGTCTTAGTACAAAGATGCCAGCTCCAATGCCTTCGTGTGTTTTTGAGCCATCTGTGTACCAAATTAGGGAGTGCAGCTGGAAGTATTTCATTAAGTTTTTGTCGTTGTCTTATTCCTTGACAAAAATTTGACTATAGTTTACTAACAGAGCCTTGCACTGTAACTTATGGACAGTGAAAATAGGTATTTGGGTATTTTCCTTTAACGGCAATTACCAGGTCGTCACATTTATAGGCCCTGCTTGACACAATTTTGTAGATTGCAAATAATCACTTCCCACTGAAATCTAAATTTTTTCCATATGTAATCCTGTGTTACATGTATCCGTTCATACATGCCTTACTCCTGCATATGGAATTTTACATGCGTATAATGTTTGGCATTCGACATTGTTTGTTTCGTTAATTGATTGTAATTTGTGCAAATATTTCAGCAAATTGCGTGCAAATTTGTTGCCACATCCAACGCTCGTACGAACTTTTGTATGCGTTTGATTCATTGCAGAGGGCGTGCGCATTCATTTTTTTTCTGAACGCGCTTTCTGATAGGCAGAAAAAAGAGATTAGTCAAAACAATACAAATTGCGGACATCATTTTAATTACATGGATAACAATTTATGCAAACAATTTTTTTTCCAAGTGTATAAACAAACATAGATATTTTTGTATAAGCTGTGCAGCTTAAAGCTTTGTTGATGTTGGGTAACAAAATACAGTTTTTTGTCGAAAGTAAAGGTATTCGAGTCTGAAAGTATTCAACGCCGTTAACAGAAGAAGAGTAAGGCCTCCTCTGCGTTGGAAAGACCAGGTGGAGAAGGACTTGGCTTCACTTGGCATTTTCAATTGGCATCAGAAAGAAGATTAATAATGTATTCTAGCCAGCGAAAGGCTATTCTCGATACTAAGGCTGAAATAAAAGCGATGAACATGGTCAACTTTAAGGTTTGACATCCTGATGTCGAAGTGCAGGCATACACATATTTGTGTCCACTTTAGTACAGCTCTAAGAGTTAAGCTTTCCTAGACTTTCCGAAAAATAAACGAACACATGTTTTAAATATAAATCATCACTTGAAGATAGATAAGGTCATATTAGTTTTGTTTGGGCAAGGTTAGATTAGATTATAGAGCTTTACATACGGTTAAGAGGTTCATAGCTCGCTGGGTTAACTCTCTCTTAAATTGTAGAACAGGCGCTTATTCAAGACATCCGCCACTAAAGAATAAAAAAAAATGTAACGTATGAACGACCAAAGTCCCTTTAACCTACTGGTAGTTGGCAACTTTGCTACCTTTCCAGAGGTCTAATTCTCGTTTCCAGAGTTATTACTCGACCAACCTTTCGACTGAATGGCTTGTGATTCCGGCGAACACTTCTGATCGGAATACGCTGGTTTCTCTGGACTCTATTCGTCCCTGAGCTCAACTGCCGCAACTTCAGAAGTCAATATGTGTGTGGAGGAATAGAAGCCGAAAGTTCCACCCCGGCCAGCCAACTGTTTGAGTAATGGTCATTATTCTGCGGAAGACGACAAGTTTTAACTGGCGGCCTACCAGATTCCTATTTTCTCCATGAAGCAACTATTTACACAAACTGATCTCAGCTACGGCCGGTTCAACGGCAAATGGTTGGACATAGGAACCATTTAACTTTCTGGAAAGGACCCCTAAATCCTTCCAGATATAATTCGCAAAGCTTGCACGTCGGAAACTTTGGACTTAATTGCCCGCTGAGCCCACTTGCGAGTCTCCTATCTCTGTTCTTTAGTAGTATATCTACGAGTTGGATTTAACTTCATACCCCGTATTGTTCTAGATTCAAAATCGACCTGTTTCCATATCCATATAATTCGTTTGCTCCAAGGCTTAAAGCCTGATTATGGCAACTTAACTTAACTTAACAGAACTTGGACTTAGAAAAGCAAAATGAAAAAAAAAATTCGATGTGGCACTAAGTTAAGTTTCGACTGTTTAATTATAAGAAACATCCATTTAAGAGAATTTTTAAGTGAGAGCCTGTAAGTTAAGTTGCCATAATCAGACCATTAGCCTTTATAAGGTCCTAGCCTTAGCGGTTGCTGCTAGAAGCCACTCTTTTCACCTATACCTTATCTAACTAAAACTCTAAAATATTTTTTTGAGTTTAGAAAAAAGTAATAAATACTAACAGTGCAAAAATATAAATATTCCGCCTGCAGATTATTATACACATAAATCCTGTGCATTCTAGACAAAGACTTTGTGGCTTTTGCTGTCATATGCAGTACATAATAATTTGTTGCTTCAATGGTTGTTGCAGTTATTGATGCCGCTGCTGGTGTGCTTGCACTTCGTATAAGTTCTTAAAATATATTTTTTGCACACCAAAGCCATCCAAACTAATTTGCCTTTGTGCTTTGAAGCTGGCATGATTGCCTTTGTCTGCCTGACAGTTCGTTAATAAATTTTCGACAAAAATTGCCAACATACAAACAAACAAATACACACATACACATACATGTGAATATGAATTAGCGCAAATGCCACATTGCAGCTTTGGTGGGCTTTGTCGAGGCGGCAGTACGCTGCATGTAGCGGTTGGACCAGCTGCAGCAGGCAGCAACATAAAAGTGCTTTGACATTTTTTCACAACTTTTTAAGGCAGCGTTTTAAACACTGTTTATTTTTAGACTCTTAACATAAAGCGCAATATGCCAGCAGCCAACTCTCTGCACACCCCCCCAATCACAAAAGTATTTGGCTAATTAAAAATTGTTTGTACACATTGTTGTGCAGTTTCCGTTTTTCATGGCGCACATATTTGCATTGTTTTTCACATGTTTTTATTTTTTATTTTATTTCAAAAATTTGCTTTGTGAGTGCGTACTTACCCCCTCCTCTTTGCCTTGCAGAAAATGCACTGCACCGGATCGTTGGATGCCGGGTAAAAACCATACAGGATGTGTCAGCAGCAGACGCTCCATCAGGCCCAAATCACAGGGCGGGCATTCGTCGGTGCCGCGTGATGTTTCGCTCGAGGTTTCGCCTTCGGCCAAAATGCCACCATCCGAACTGGAGACCAGAGATGTACGTGACTGGAAAGATGAAAAGCGAAAGCGTATGATGAGTGATGGCTGTGTGTGTGTGTGTGTGTGTGTAAAAAAAATTTTTGGCTTGTTAAGTTTAAGTGGGATTTTATGTAATTCTAATGGGATAAGTGGGTGTAAGCCATTGAGGGTAAATATTTCTAAGAAAATATGTTTTAAGGGCAATATAATATTTTGCTTAATATTTATTATAAAAGTTTAGATTTAAAATATAGTCACACATAATATTAAGGCTAAGAGAAAGTGACGACTTTTTGTGGAAGTCATTGGTAAGGTAAAGTACTATGAATTCCGCGTTTTAGTTGCGACGAAAAACTCGTACCGTTTTAAAATCACAAATTAATGTTTTTATATCAAACCAATCAACAAAATTGCGAGTTTTTTTGTCACCTTAAGCGGACCTCCTGGCCCCCTTAAACTGTGCAAATGCACAGAAGGTTCTCGGCTGTTTCTTGTGCGTTTTCGTCAAGAGGAGTGCAAACTGTGCAGCGGCCCTTGTAGGGAAGTGTTGATTAGGATGGTACCGAGTTTTACCATGCCAGTCCGGCGTTAGGTTAAGAGATGGAACATACATATTCTTATTCCACCACCCAATGTAAAGATAAAGTTAGATGATCCTGCATATTGGCCTTATTGGAATTGAAATCCATTTTTCACAAGAGAACATTAGAAAATTCTCTCTGAATGAGACGGTTGTTTCGATGAACAAAAACTCCAATTAAATTTACTAAGAGCTGCTTGCGATGATTTTTTTGCTAAAATGGCAGAACTGATATCGACGCGTTCGGCCTTCCGCAACGTCATTCACTTTTGCAAGGACAGGCATTAAATTTTTTACTCACATAGAATTTTGGTGGGAAAACGGCCCAAAAGGCATGTGATATAGTTGTTTTATGGACGTATTTATGTAACCCGTAACCAGCTCTAGCTTACGGTCAAATGAAAACCCGCAGTTGCTGAAGCCGTAGTTATATGCAGAATATTTCAAGTGGGAACCAAAACTAGAATTACCTACAGCAGAGAGCGTTGTTACCCGTGGTGTGAAGACTTTTAATAAAGAAACAACTCTAAATTAAAAATGACGATAAATCCGATCTCAGGAGTTTCTAAATTAGGAAAGAGTATTTGCGCGACGTCACTCCAAATCCCAAATAAGTGACTAAACATACTTTACTGAACATTGTTTGTGAGAGGTTTGGGAATATGTAGATACTTAGCTCCAAGTTCCCACAAACTCTCTTTCTTAGTCGCGAATTCATATTTTGGATCCTACATCTCTTTCTCCTAGAGAGACGATTCAAAGTGGGAACTGTGGGTAGCTACCTACACAGACGGTGTAAAAATATCAGAGTTCTTAGACATTGGCATCTTTGGTCCTTAGTAAATCTGCTGTGTGCTGAGACAAGACACTATCAAAGAAAGCCGAAGAAAGAAGAAAACCCATGGCATAAACTGGACTTTTCCTAGCGACATTTTAACTTGAAGGGATCAAACAAAATGCATATGAACTTTTCATCAACCTTCTCAAGGAAAAAAGTAAGCGTGGTGAGTAGATCATGATGTTTTTGATCTCAGTTCCTAGCCTAAAATTTTCGACCCCATCTAGGAATCGTATGGAAGACCATCTCACCTTTAATCAAACTGGGCTATGAGCTGCTGAAGTATTATTTCTATGGACATCGATTTTGGAAGATCGAGAAAACTGCGCACTAGTTTTCGACGAATAGTTGTCACACAAGTAATATTTAAGCAAAAAACCAAAGCCCACTTCAATTCTCATATACAAACTTAAGGGTTCCGCTAATTTTTTCATGATCCAATGATCGAATCTATACCAAATTAGTATGGGACAACCTCTGAGGTACCATATTTCTTTTAACCCTTTCCGCAGCAGAATTTTAATCTCATATGTTTGAGGTGTTGCGCGAAGGTTATTATATATTTTCCTCCATTCTATGAGTAGCAAAGATTTAATATAAATATATAATTTGTACCACCTGAGTTTAATCTTTTTATTTTATTTTATTTTTGCTTTTTAATTTTTCATTATACATATTATTTTTTATTTATTCTTTTTTAATTTAAATTTGTTTTAAATTTTTTTAAGTTATAATTCATATTCAATAAATTTTTATTTTTAAAAACAAAAACCAAAAATAAATTTTCTTTGGCACTCTTGGCTACAAGGCTCTTGAAATTTTCGTCGCTTAAAGAGTTAAAAAAAAAAAAGATTTATAGAAATTGACGAGGTCAAAAGTTATGCGGTGACATGCGACGAATTGATAACTTCCTCCTGTTTTTGAAGTCAGTTAAAAAGGTTGAGGCTTCCAGTTTCTTCCAGCTTCGTGCCTTCAGAATTGTGAATAGGTGGTTTTTAAACCTCACCATTCGCTAGTATTAACTACTTCTATCTGGGAATTTAAGCGTAAGAGATAGGTGCAATTCAAATCGCGTCAGTCGCGCTGAGCACTCATCAATGAAATGCCTGCCTTCAAGGTTCTCGAACAGCTGAACCTGCTCTTTTTCCAGTAGACGAGATTGTAAAGTGTTTGCCTAGTTCTTCTATTGAAGAGGTGCGGAGGAGTCAGAGCCGAATTCGGCCTATCATGGCAGGCTGTAAATAATCTTTCGGGCTCCAACCGAGGATAGTAGTCTCCGAAAGAATTCGATTTTCCTAAATTTCGGATTTACTCAGCAGATAACTGTAGTGTTTTGCAAAAATGGCTCTGTGCTATAGAACAATTCTTTGACGCTCGGCAGTTACTTGGTTCAGAGAACTAATATAAATAAAAGAATAACTTTTGCCGATTTTAAGCGAGAGGGGTAAGAAGAGTCAGGATAAGCAGCTAGATATAATCCGCTTAACTGTTCGCCAATAATGTAATAAAAGGAGATACGATAACTGCAAAGCAGCCAGTGACAAAGAAGTAGCAAAAAACTGGAAAAATTTGCTCACTTGCCAAAATTAGGGGTTGCCGCAATCAGAAGTTTGGGGCTTAGGATGCCAGCCGCCAAATACTAACAGTGTTAATGAGAGTTGTAGAAGAATAAGTGTATTTTTTTTTTGGAAATTTTCGCAAGCATCACTGCACATTTCAACAACCTTTTGTAAGTAAAAGCAATCGGCAAAAAGAAGTGAAAATGTTTTGATTTGACAAAAATGCAACCACGATGGGAGCAAAGAAAAACTGACAGGAAAAGGCAGCAAAAAAGAAAGTTGACAAAGTCATGAATGCGTTGTCATTAACGCCATCATGTTAGGGCAGCTGTTGCCAATGACAAATACATTCAGTAACACACCAACAATAAGTTAGGCAGCCAGTAACAAAACAAACTCACTGCAAAGGAAGTTAAAAGGGCTGAAGAAAATAGGCGGTGGCGGCATTCGATGAAATGAAACACAAAAATGTCGTAGTATGAAGGAAGAATTCTAGGACACCAATGCAAGTATAAAAATGCCTAAAAATTGGCTGGCGGTTAATCTTTTTTATTTTTTATGCCATTAAATTTGCTTGCAATTTTATGCATTCATTCACTCGTTCGATGTGCGTGAATGTCGTTATTCAATAATCTCGCCTGGCGTACGTCATGTCGCAGCACTTTGATGTTTTTTCTGACAATTTGTTTTCGTTTTTTTTATATTTTTTCTGCAGACAACGCGAGCCCACCACTAACGCGATTTTTGCTATGCGAGCACCCTTCTGGTTTGAAGTGACCATTTTTCATTTTTTTCATTTCGAATTGCGGCAGTTTAAATTTTCATTTAAAAAAACGAAGTGATATAAATGCGTGGATACATACTTGCATGTACGTTTATGCATTCGTAAATACATAGTTATCTATGAATTAGAAAAAAAGGTAAAACAGCTTGTCACACAAAGCAAGCAAAAAAAGTGAATTTTGAAAGATAAAAGTTTAAAATTAATGGTGTAACAGTGAAACGCGATATATCTATGCGTAAAGGAACCCTTCTCCTGTAAACGTTTCTGTCTGTCTGTCACTCACTGTTGGCGGAAATGTCGCCCGACTGCTTTTCTTTATGATAAATGTTTTGGCAGTGCGGATTGTTTTTTGTAGACAGTTGATTTACATTGTTTATTGGTTGTTTAATTTAAGCAAGGTGCCACGTCAAAGATATCAAATAGAAGATAAGAGCTGAAGTTTTGGATAAATAGATAAATGTTTATTTGAAACCTTTCTTGTTTCTTGTTTTTACATTTAAATTTCCACTTTAAACTAATTCTAAATTGCATTATGAAATAAATAAATTTTTAGTGTTATTTTGTTATATAAGTTTACTGTCAAATCGAAATTTTAATTAAAGCAACTTTTCACATTAACTTTGATTAAGGAATGGAATACCAATAAATTAAAAACAGTATGTAAAACCCCGAAAAAGTCATAAAACAGAATCTGTTAGTTTCTGGTGACGCTCCTAGAGGGTTAATGAGTATACAAAGTAGGATTTTGCATAAATAAATTTTCTGAAAATATTCAACTCGGAACCTGCTGGTGGTAGCAGAGGAAGAGGTAGGCCTCCACTACAATAGAAAGACCAAGGCTTGGTATTTCCAATTGGCGTCAGTTGGCACAGAAGTCGAACAACTGACGGGCTTTGTTGAACTCTGCCAAAATCGCTTAGGCGGTTACGGAGCCAAAGAAAAAGAAGAAGAAGACATTTTTTATGTTTTCATTGGCTTTCACAAGCGTATACTTTTATTGAACTAAATTTTTGGTTCTTATCTTCATTTAATATGAGAAATGTCAAACGCAACGAAAATGTCAAAAGCAGGGCAAGCAAACGTGAAACGATTTGATGGCACGGAAGTATCTGTACTCTTCCACTCCTTGCTCACCTCTTTCGCTTACAAACGTACAGTCTTGAAAGCAAGCCTTGTCGCGTCTGAACGAAGACAAACTGTTTTGACACTCGGACAGCGACATTAATTTTGCGGTGAGAGAGATTTGAATAGTCAACATTAATGCCG